GTAATTAAGCACAAAGCTATACAATGGGCTATCTGTGCTCTACCCACCACGGTATCGAAACCCGGATTCTAGCTTTGTAAGTCCGCAGACATACCGCTGTGCCACTGAGGGGCAGTATGGTTTGAATAATAAACATTTTTATATGTATTAAGATAACACTATTCAACGAGATATTTGGTAATTTGCTATTTACGATATTCAATAAATCAAACAATGTGATATTTTAAGGCTATTTTTGCTGAAGTGATAAAGTGTTATCTATTGTAATAAAAAAAATAGTTTCTCTCTCTAAAACAATCAATTACACCGCTATTTTACTTCAAAACACATTAATTAAAGTAAAAACAAACTGACTATAGGTTTGAATTATTTAGACCAATCAGCTTTGCTAATGTTTTCATACACATGTTATTATGCTACTGGACTTCCTTATCTATATTTTCGTACTTCTAGGAAAGTTATATTGTTAAATCAATGTTTCGAGGTAGAAACAGTTCAAATTATAAAATGAAATATGTGCTGTTTATATGAAATATTGAACTTTCTAGAGAGTAGAGTTTCATATCATAGATAAACTTTCTAAAGAGTAGAGTTTTATATCATAGATTTGTTTATAAGTGTGACTATTGTTTATTGTGACTATTGTTTTCTTAAAAACAACAACTCAAAACATGTATTCTGTATAACTGCAAATTTTAAATACGCATAAAAAACAATGTAATTTCAACAACAAAAATACATACATGTATATGGAACGAACCGAAAAAAAAAGTCTGTGTAAGAGAAAAACTATTGCGTTTTATAGAAAATAATATATGAGAAATAAATTCTAACAACAATAAAATACCAAATAAACAATAGTCACACTTAAATTTTGGAATATTCGACTGTTTTGATTAAATGACATTGTACTAAATTCAAAATAAAAAGTATTACAAATATCTTAATGTAGGGTTAATTTTATTTAAATTTAAATTAGGAAAATCATGTGTAAAAAATCGTTAGTAAATTCCAGTATCTTTCTATTTATACAAGCCTTTCTATCTCATCATAAGTACAAAAAATCATCTAATACTTATATGAAACGATATCAGATAAATACGTGGAACAAAAACACCAAATACTAATTACTTTCTAAAATGTTATGAACCTGGTGCTTCTAAGTTCATATGCACATCAGATAAATACGTGGAACAAAAACACCAAATACTAATTACTTTCTAAAATGTTATGAACCTGGTTCTTCTAAGTTCATATGTACATCAGATAAATACGTGAAACAAAAACACCAAATACTAATTACTTTCTAAAATGTTATGAACCTGGTTCTTCTAAGTTCATATGTACATTAGATAAATACGTGGAACAAAAACACCAAATACTAATTACTTTCTAAAATGTTATGAACCTGGTTCTTCTAAGTTGATATGTACATAACCTGGCTATCTTAAAAAAAATTGAGGTTTGTTTTTGTTTGTAGTTATGCACAAAGCTACATAATGGGCTATCTGTGCTCTGCCCACCACGGGTGTCAAAACCTCTCTGCTTGAAAGGCTACATTGATTCCACCACCAGATGTCTCTGGTAAAGGACTGTAGAACGACATCGTTCTTCCATCTATAACAACTCGCGTGTTTTACATCAAGCTATGGAATATAACAATGATATCATGTTTGAACACTTGGACATTCTATTCAAGCCAACAGATGAAAAAACATCAAAACTTTCCAACCAGATATCAGTATCATGGAAAACTCATGTTAATTCGGATATAACTTTGGAAACAAAACATCTTAATCCCAGTATTAATTGAGATTACTATATTCTGATTATGTCTATATGTCAAAGTCGAAACGTCAAGAGAAAAAAAACAAAAAACATTCTTAATCCCAGTATTAATTGAGATTACTATCTTCTGATTATGTCAAAGTCGAAACGTCAAGAGAACTTTACATCCTACGTTAGGCTTAGATCTATCACCCTAAGTCAAATTTGAAGCTTTTTCTTTTTCTTTTATGGCCAGTTGTGGTCATTTTACATATTCTGGTTGGACTTTTTTGTCACCTGTAAATTTGGAATGAAAACATAACTTACAGTCACCTTACCACATCACCATAGATATTATTCCCGTGAGTTACGTTGGTATTCAAGTGAAGGCCTATACTATTGTTCGTTACCTGTTGTAGCTGCTAGCACGCTATCTACAACTTTAGTCCCGTGTCTTATTCTATATATAAATCATGACATAAATATGAAAATTTTGTATGGTAAAACCTTATTTCTTTTCTGGTGAATTACTATGGATTTACACAGTAATTCTCCGGAAAAGAAATATCGTTATACAATACAAACTTCCCATGTTTATGTTATGATTTATAAATAGAATAAGACACAGGACTACAATTATGGACACATAAATATTTGGTGGCTTATGATATATAGATATATTTCCAGTGAATTACTGTGGATTGAATTATAATGTATTACATGTATATATATCCATGTAAACATGATTATAACTATTCTAATGAGGTATATTAATAATTCATAGGTATTAGGTTGGTACCAACAAACGTTAGTAAATACAGGTTAAAGCTTCTTCTCTGGCATACCAACAGTAGTTTAAACCAGTTCTTAGGATAACAGTAACATAATAATTTGTGTCTAAGATTGAACCAACTAACCATTCAACTAACAGAATTAACTTTAATTCATTACATACGTCATATTTGAGTTATTCTTCATTGAGTTATTCCTTTCATAATTAGTCTCATTTAATTAGTTTATTTAGTTCGTAATGAATGATTCATTACAGGGAATGTAAGGTTTACTAGAATTTTGCTACCGTTGGTTGGGAAGTAATGGAGTTTTGGTTGTACATGCGCAGTGTGCGTTGAAAAAAAATGTATTGTTCATTTGCTTTGTTCTTTAATTTCTCGCAAAGCTAAACGAGGGCTATCTGCACGAGCAGTTCCTAATTTAGAAGTGATAGAATAGAGAAAAAGCAGCTAGTCAACAACACCTTCACCGCCAACTATTGGGTTACTCTTTTACCAACGAATAGTGGGATTGATCGTTACATTTTAACGCCCCCACGGCTGAAAGTGTATGTTCGGTGACACGATACAAACTCGCGATTCGTAGATTATGAATCGAGCGCCTTATACTCCAGGTCATGTCAGGTTGATCCTACTAATAAAACTAGAATGACATACAACATCAGAGTTCGCTTCAGTATGTTGTAACAATCATTTCTGATAAACTAGAAAGTGCTAAATACCTATAAAAATAATCAGATAAATCCTATTGTATTATACAAACATCAAATTACTTTTATTAAAAGATCTTTAAAAGATAAGTAATAACATAGTAGGCTACTTACAATTCATATCAATTGTCACCGTTGTTGAAACTGGAGGTGATTGATTGTTATTCGACGCCTGACAAGAAAACGTAGCCATCAGATGTCGCCTATTCAGAGTTTTGATAACGAAAATATTCTGAACTATAGATTGAGAGACAGTGTGAAAACTGTCATCCACTATCATCGAGTCTCTCCACCAGATGACAGAAGAAGGTGGGTTTCCTAGTTACATAAACTACTTTTGATTAACTGTTTATTGAAGGAATTAACAAAATAATAAATAAACTCTCTAGTCTGAAGAATTATACTTTTCATTAATAATTTGATCATTCAAAGATTTTATTTGAAAATTTCAAGACGATTTCATTGTCTAATTGAACAGGTCTATACAACTAATAACAATCATCTGGATATACAGAAATGACCAATCTACCAGTAAGAATACGTTTTGTAGTCAGAGTATTTCATCTGAAAGATTTTAACCAGTCTTCTAAATGATAGTCCATAGATTGCACATTATCTAATAAAGAGCACCTAAGTAAAACTATACTGAATATGAACTACAGGATCGTACATTTAACACAGATACTTTCAATAATTAGTTCGAAATTGTAGTTTTATACAACATTAGCACTGCTAAGCCTAAGTGAGTCAGTGATAAAAAAAACGCTCAAAGAAAATAAACTTTTATGTTTAGAAGTAAATATTGGCTGGTACAGTTTTTATTTATATGCACACCTTTATATTCTAAAATATAAAACGTGATTTCTAGCTGTTCAACTAGATCTATCACTTACAGTTGTTAAAAGTATAAGATGGCGCAGCGTTTCTCGTTGGAAAATAAATCCAAATAAAATAAAAACTTGGAGCAACTGTTTCACACAATATCACGTTTTCTCAATCCAGCTAGGCTGATTGGAAGGAATTTTTCATTGATACGATACCAAATTACTTAGCCTACAGCCATAAGCACCAGTGTGCAATAGAAGAGGATAAACTATGTTGAGTGACCTTAACAACTAAAATATAAAACATGCAAGTATTATTTGTTCATAATTTCTGTGATCGACCAGGCCGGACTGATAAGAGCTGATACCATACCGAAGTAGGCTTTGTTATCTAATGTAATGTATTACATTTGAACTAATAATCTTTCAAATGAAAAGGATAAGAAACCATGCGTGTGGCAGCTTTAGTTGGAAAGCTAAACATCGTCAAACTTGCTCTCAGAAATAAGAAAATTATATATCATTAAGCAAAATGACTTAGAGGGTATGTCAGCTACACTCCACGTATTAATTTCTTTAGGTTTGTTTTAATTAAACACAAAGCTACCCACCACGGATATCGAAAACCGGTTTCTAGCGTTGTAATTCCGCAGACATGCCGCTGGGTGGAGGGGGTAATTTTTTAAATAAAATTTGTTTCGCCTCACTTGATTCTGACCTGTGAAATTTTAATTAAATGTATCTTTTGGCTTCAGTTTAAAGATTTATCAAATGTATATAACAAAGGATATGTCTTTACATTAATTAAAGTTAAGACAAGCATATTAAAATTAAAAATATTTATAGGAGAAGGTGAGGTAAGGAGGCACCTTAAATTTGAATGAGGTTTTCAGCAAAAGATAAATGTCATGGAAAAGGTTTAAATATGAGCTCGTTATTTGGGGCATTTTGCCATTAAGGTTGTATAAAACGGACCCCATGATGGGATAAAAGGGTACTCATCTAACTAATAATATCTGAAATTTAAAATAACTTCTCTAGCTAGTAATTGCATTTTACATCCCTTAAACATCAATCATGTGTTTCTGGCAAGTTGCACATAATATAGAACAGTGGCAGGAAAGAGCATGAGGACTAGTGTAGGGCAATGACAAGTTGCACATAATATAGAACAGTGGCAGGAAAGAGCATGAGGACTAGTGTAGGGCAATGACAAGTTGCACATAATATAGGACAGTGGCAGGAAAGAGCATGAGGACTAGTGTGGGGCAATGACGTACGTATGTTGTGACCAAAGTTAACGCCGGCAAACCATTATTGGTGTGGGGTACGGTGGCCAATCATCGAAAAGCAATCACATGTTATAAAAAAAATCATCGAACTTGAACTGTGTTTCTTTTGCAGCGTGTTCGGTGTCGATAATTCCTCCTTTTGTAAAATGAAGAAAGTTAAATTTCCTGGAATGTCAACTCAAATGTGCTTACCTTAGATCAGAGATGTTGGGGAAAAAAATTAAGTTGGCCTTTGATAATTCATATATTCGCAGATGTCCGCCAGTGTTTTTATGCACAGGGTCAGATAAAAATAGTTACATACTGATGGCAACATTTTATAAATGATTATTACAGCAGTGGTCGTTTTATCAAAGGGGACCGTCTTATCTCACTTCTCCCCCCCCCCATTGTAATTTGTTTAATTTTAGTTAAACTATACAAAAAAATCCCTATGATTTTCTAAATAAAACGAACTATTACCTTCAAGAAAGGCATTTATTGAAAACAGTATTTTTGGAAATCCTATGCACCGTATCCTTGCATGTTGGCGTAATTAAGTTCAAACTGCTGCTGACAATTTAGAATTTTAAATGTGCCATAATTACTAATACGAGATCCAGAATGCAAACATAAAACCTGTCCTTGTATAATCATACAATCTCCTAGAGATCCAGAATGCGAACATAAAGAACTGTTCTTGTATAATCATACACTCCCTTAGAGATCCAGAATGCAAACATAAAACCTGTCCTTGTATAATCATACAATCTCCTAGAGATCCAGAATACAAAAATAAAGAACTGTCTTTGTATAATCATACATTCTCTTAGAGATCCAGAATACAAACATAAAGAACTGTCCTTGTATTATCATACAATCTCCTAGAGATCCAGAATGCAAACATAAAAAACTGTCCTTGTATAATTATACATTATGTTAGAGATCCAGAATGCAAACATAAAAAACTGTCCTTGTATAATCATACATTCTCCTAGAGATCCAGAATGCAAACATAAAAAACTGTCCTTATATAATTATACATTATCTTAGAGATCCAGAATGCAAACATAAAAAATTGTCCTTATATAATTATACATTATCTTAGAGATCCAGAATGCAAACATAAAAAACTGTCCTTATATAATTATACATTCTCCTAGAGATCCCGAATGCAAACATAAAAAACTGTCCTTGTATAATCATACATTCTCCTAGAGATCCAGAATGCAAACATAAAGAACTGTCCTTGTATAATTATACATTCTCTTAACTTAATTCTCTTAATGTGATTGTATAACAGAGTCGAACGTACCTCCTTCACTTTCGCAAACTAATGTCAAACTATCTCCTTCATTATAGGGACCGATCAAACTTTCCAGGACATTTTCCTTGCCGTCAGTGATTATAGGCTTCTTCGGAGGAACTGGAGAAAATTATAGACTAGAATTATTGCATGCTGTTAGACACTGACATCTAAAATCCAACAACTGGCATATAAAGGGTAGCAGTGAGAGATTATTTCTCACTCATCTAAGTTACTTTGACAGGACTCGAGATTTTAGAGTTTATTAACTCAGCGTATTAATTACAACTTCAAGGAAAATCAATATGCATATTGGAAACCCTGTTCTTATAGATAGTGTATCTCTATAATTTACATGATGTATAACACTGCTGGGAAATATTAATGAACAGTGTTAAGTGATAAAATAATACAGCACACTGTTACACAATTAAATGTATCCATAATCTTTCGAAACAGATACTAAGTTAGAACAGTAATAACCTAACAGGGAATACTGATGTATATATTGCATTTATAAAATATTAATCGTCGAATAGTTCGTATTTAAATGAAGATATTAACTTTCCGTGGAAGAGAAATTATGATTGTATTTCAACAAGCTTTGTTAATTTACCAACTGTGTTGTTCAACCAAATGCTAAAGAGTTAGAGTTTCTGAAACTACTTCTGTAATGCAGTAGCCCTCGTTAAAGCCGAAGTCTTATTAATAAATCCTAGTAAATAAAAGTGTAACATAATGAGTTAGAGTTTGGAAACTACTTCTGTAATGCAGTAGCCCTCCCTAAAGTCAAAGTGTCATTAGTAAATCCTAGTGAATAAAAGTGTAACATAAAATCACCTGATATAATTGCAGTGATGATGAATTAGATTATTGTAGTTGTTGTTTTCCAGATTATAATCTAAATTTATTGTGAACAATAATTCACGACAATGGATAGAGGACGAAATTCATGTTTGACTAAGCAGTTGTATGATTATGAATAGATTTGTAACTGAAATAATAAAATTTGTGACTTTTGTATTGAGCACCAAAGCAAGAGTCTGAGGATAAATGCTGACGATTTTTGAACAGGTTGGTTATTAGTTACTGCTATTAATATACATGAAAAAATATTTACTCAATGTTGACCGTGCTGGAGCTGGTTGTTACAAATCTATATTTCTTAAAAACAGAAGAATTAACTGAACAAGCAGTTCCTATAGCGATACTGAAATATTTACCAGGAAACAATAAAAAGGGTTGTTAAAATTTGTTACATTGCAATTTAAAAATACCTAAAGATCTAATTCAAGCAAGGCCAACAACAACAAAAAAAGTTATCATCAGAATGAAACTCAATAACATGGACGCTTTCGGAAAGTGGACTTTCCTTCATAATAAGGTTAAGTCGACCATCCGAGTGCTCTCGGGTTATTTAGTTTAATTTGCAATGTTGGAAGTTCTGAAAATATCGTTGTCACGGTAGTAGCTTATACGATCACCTAAGCCTAATTATTAATTAGTACCTAATTAATACATAATTAACTTGCTATTTATTGACGTATTTCATAATTAAAACTCTGCGATGCAATTCACCAGATCCTAACGTATTCCTCAGCTGTTTCTGAATGTTGTGTAGCAACGTAGGTGATTAATTACATGTAATGTAACAACACGGAGTAATCTGTTTGTCTAGGTGAGATTACAGAGTTTAAACTTTCGTTGCAACTACATCTGCTTTGTAAGTAAGTAAAACAATTCTAACAACTAAACAAAACGTTTCAAAATCTATATAATATTTATATTGGCTTTAAAATGTATTTATATATCATGAAAATAAAGAATAAATAAAACATTCAGTAAAATCTTTTATGAAATTATGAAACATGATAATTGAAATTATTTATCTCAGATTTTAAATATTGAATGAATTGTTTATGAATTGTATTATCGTATTCTTTTGGAACGTTTCTGAAACTTTGAATAATACATATTTTACAGAATTAGTAATTAGTCTAAATGTAACGATGACATGGTTATGATTCATCTTTCCTTCTTTTTCTAATACTTCACATGCTTATTCAGATAATTGTTAATTTTTTTTTATGTTTAGCTTGCTCTCTTTTTCATATAAAAATATGTTATTTTATTTTAGAATTCAATATACATTTTTAATTAAGTTTCGAATTGGGTGTTAAAAACTTTTGAAGTTGCAAATACGTTTACAAATAAAGGAAACATTAGATTTATTTACAACGATTACATTAGTAAATGTTCTCAAAAAGCTTTACAAATTGTTTCTTGTTCGTATGTAACTCGAACAATCTTCAACAGAATCCACAGGGAGAAACAGCTAGAATGAACAAAACTTTGTAATTCATGAAGATATCAAATTTAGAAATGAACTTACTTTTGCAATAGTTTCTTGTTTCAATCTACTCTTATTGTATTTGTCTTTCCAACGCTAGTCTTTATCTAGATACTTTAACAATATACTCTTGGTTATTTTTCTTATAACCTATTATTAAAGTGATAATTTAAAATGAATCAAAAGTTATCACGATGTTTACATCCCAAGTCGACTTTCCTAAAAAGTGTTTTCTTTCTTTCTTTCAACTATATACTTGCAATACAGAATGATAACCTACTTCTGACGTGGTAGAGCAAAGAAAACAACATCCATCCAATAACTCAAGATACTCTTGCACCCGTATTTTAGAATTATAAAGTAACAAGAAATCCCGTCAGTACAAGCACTCTAGTGCTGATTGGGATAATCTTTGGAGATTTTTCATTCTCAGGAAACATTTGTGTTTTGTGTTATAGTGTCAAAATATAGCTGTGACACTAAAGATGTTATGAATACACCAGAATGAAAGAACATATAAAACATTGTGTAAAATCTATAGGGCCATTTCGAATTCGGCAAGAATTTCAACAATACCAAAGCAATTTTCTATCATACATCAAAAATTGAATTCGGTAGCAAGGGATTTACGTGTTCTGCAGGATCGAGATACGTTTAGTGTTTGTTTTCTTCAGAATGTTGATATATATACACATGTACACGTTTCCTCGTATTGGGTAGATTATGTACTTTCTTGATTCTATAGATCGGAAAAGTTTTAATTAAAAATTAAATAGTACACAAACTACAGATTGTTAAAATCTCCAAAAATCGAATACGCATTCCATTATTTACATTACAATGTTCTTGTACAAACTACAGATTGTTAAAATCTCCAAAACCGAATACGCATTCCATTATTGACATTACAATGTTCTTGTTAAGTATTTTTTATATATCTATTTCCCCGTTACTAGCTCGTTGTTAAGAACCAAGCTACGTAATGATATATCTGTGCTTAACACGGATATCAAAACCCATTTTTAGTGTTAATAGCCTGGAAACTTCATATGCAGTAAATACTTAGCTATTATATAATAAACCTTCACCATTGTTTACGAGGGAAAAAAATCAAATGATTTAAAGCGACAATATCTAAAACCTTCCAAACAGGCCCTTTGAAACATTTCCAATTGATTACATTGAAACAAAGTACAGAAATAAAAACAATAACAAAAGTTTTCAGCACATAATAGAAGTAAAATAGGTTTTTTTCTATTGTCACTATTTTCTTGGCGGATTCCTACCTATTACTGACAGCTCCGCTTTGGAATATCTAGTCCTGGCTATTCGGAAATCTACTCTACATTTGTATGTCCCGGCGTCAGCTGCATATACCGGTTCAAGGATTAGTACAGCTGGTCTATCCACGATACTGAAGTAAGCTCTACCAGACAACCCATCAGCTGAAGAATGTCTGGTGTGGTTTGTAACGCCTCTTCTAGCATCCATGGTGTATAGTGGATTAGAAGTGTCTCCCCTGTACCACAGTATAAGTAGAAGCTCGTCGTTTGGAGATGGTGGAGTAATGTTACATGGTAATGCTACCTTGAAGCCGGCAATACCTACTATTTTTTCTGTATAAATAGATAAATGAGTATCATATCTTGTATATGCTGAAATATTTATTATGCTTTATTAAATATACTAGCTATGAATTACTTATACTAGGGCTGCAAAGATTGAATCAATGGACATATCTAGAAACTACATGTGAAATACATTTTAAAGAAGAAAATCCTATATGAATATATATATGTTGCTTAGAGTATTTAAATATATATTTATATTGAGGATACAGATTATTTAGTAGTTGCTATCTTATGCCTAATTACATGACTAATTAAACAGTTTTACATAAATCTATAATATCATATTTTATAACCTAATTATCATACCTACTTCTCTATTTCTTTGATTATATTGTGTTCAACATTAAAATATTTTTAGACTTACTTTATATTTGAACTCCACTTTTAACTAATTTTAATAAGTACCTTAGAAATGTCAATATTACCTAATTATCACCAATTTTATACCATCTTTGTTCTTCCATTGATATGTTTAGTTATAGAAATATGGGGATTGATCTTTTTATGTTGTTGGTCAGATATTCCCATGAGATTGGAGTGCGGTCATTTTGTAATGGTTTCCATAAAAATAATTTGACTATGAAATCCATGTCTTCTTTGTGTATGCGTTACATAGATATGGCTATAGTCATGTTCAGTTTAAGTCTGATCTTCTTTTGAGTCCATTTTTCTGGCTACACAGTTAGAGTTTTGATCCAGTTCAGACCAAGAATATGAAATCTGATATTTGATGGAGACTCAGTATTACTCAATATTATTTTAGTATTCTTGTTGAAAAAAGAAAACTTTCTAAAGTGAATCAAGAAGGCACATACAGATTGTTTATTTGTTAAAAAACAAGTGTTCTAAAGTAAATCAGGAAAGCATGCAAACAAGTGTTCCAAAGTAAACCAGGAAAGCACATAAAGATTGTTTGTTAAAAACAAGTGTTCTAAAGTAAAGCAGGAAAGCACATAAAGATTGTTTGTTAAAAACGAGTGTTCCAAGGTAAAGCAGGAAAGCACATAAGGATTGTTTGTTTGTTTTGAAAAAGGAGGTCTAAGGTAAAGCAGGATATGAGCTGAGATAAGGAAAACATCTGTTAGACTGCCTGATATTACTTTTCAGTAATTAAATAATTCAGTTCATCAAGTTAAGCAACTGATTAAGGAAGAAGGTGAGGTCATTCGAGTTGTGTATCTAATAATTTTTCTGTAATGAAAGTATGTCGTTTTTAAATGTTCAGATACCAGACTGTTTAGGGGGTTTGATGATATATGATATTTATATACCAATATCAGTAAACCAGGTATTGGGATGTAAGTACATAAGATCATTACAGGGCAAGGATTGAGGTACTTACAGTGAACTATGATTTAGTATAGAATAGGTTATTAACTAGTAAATATCAGTCTAGTCAGTTTTTATCCAATAACGATATCATTGCCATATCGTCATAAAATAAACGATACAAATCAAACATATTCCATGTTAGAGATGTTGGTTTTTCGTGCACTTGAAATGTGTTATTAAAGAAATGGGATTATTTTAAATTTTTGAGAGGTTTGGGGTCTCTTTATGTCCTCACCAAGAAATTACACACACTACTATTTAAGAAGATATCACGTTGAAAGAGATGACGAAATAAGCAAAAACTTAATACCAACATTTATCATGCAGGAAGGTATTCCTCAACAAACATACTATATATTGTAGGGTTGTCGGACTTGATTTTATGTTCAGAATAGCAAAAAGTGTTAATAATAAAACGCATGAACATGATAGCGCAGTAATTACACTCAAACTAAGTTATTTTCAGTCACATTATCTTCATGCATGAGGGATTATAAACTTTAAGAAATCAATATCATTATTATTTATATCATAACATTTAAGTATTAATTTGGCATTAAGGGGAACTGTAACATGTTTTTATATACTTAGAAATCCTTTGCTTTATTTCTTCCATTTTCTTATGTGCAAATGACAATATTGATCAAAACCTATCGGAGTTAACTATTAACTAGACACACATCGATATTGATTTATCGTGAGTTGTTGTATTTACGGAGTTAGTGATAGTTCCGTGACATATCTTATCTGTACCAACTCGTCAAGTAAACATTCGTCAAACGTAGAAAGGTTGCTTATTACTTCTTAGATAAAATGTGTATTTTGGAAAAAACAAAAACTTGTTTATATTCGCGATCTTGTAGGGTTACTCCATATTGAATATATATATTTTAAAGTGGTTGCTTTGTTGGTGTATATATAACTAATTTATACTTAACGGTATGGTTTTCTATATAAGAACTATAATCTGAGCAAAACAAATTTACGTGTACTGTTGACAAAAGAAATTTACTTTAGATAAAAAAGGAGAACTGATTTTAGAACTCATTTGATTTGATTCAATTAATTGTACTCATTATTACGTATGAATCCTCATTGAACCCGTTATGGTGATATGACAGACATAAAATGAAACTATTTCTGATGTTCAGTGGTATTGGTGTTTCTTCTTTTATTAATTATTAATGACGATTTTTTTTTCGCAAAAAAATACCGAGGGGAATCTAACCCCAGATTTTTGCATTGAAAGTCCGTAAACTTATTTCTTACTCATCGGTGGACTTTAAGGATGCAAGACTTCACAAATTCTAAAGAGTAATTTATTGTAAAAACTATAAACGTTTTGTTACGAGTGAGACGCGTGACTTTGAACAATATCCGTGGTGGGCACAGCACAGTCAGCCCATTGCGTATTTTTTGCTTAATTACAAACAATGACAATCTGCAGATATATACGTGATCTCTGAAGCAGTTTTTCATCAAACTTTTCAAAGTAATTTACCAGCATCATTGACGGACTATGTCAAAAAACAATACGTAGATGATACATTATTAGATTAATGATCATCGTCAACGGTGTATTAGTATTAAATTAATGACCATCGGCAACGGTGTTTTAATACTAAATTAACGATCATCGTCAACGGTCTATTAATGTTAGATTAATGACCATCGGCAACGGTGTATTAATATAAGATTAATGAACATCGTCAACGGTGTATTAATATTAAATTAATGACCATCGGCAACGGTGTATTAATACTAAATTACCGATCATCGTCAACGGTGTATTAATATTAGATTAATGATCATCGTCAACGGTGTATTAATATTAGATTAATGAACATCGTCAACGGTGTATTAATTCTGGAGAACCAGATGTATGTCCTTCAAAGCTCCCCCCTCCCCCGAAACAAAATCACACGTCAATCGCTTGCTTTTGATACCTTTAAAGATATATCGTGAAGTTATACATTTGGACCGAACAACCGACATATTATCTTAAACGTTCTGCAAATACTTACACCTTAATAAGTTACACATCTAACATTTTATCAATTACTGTTCAAGCTGTTTACTGTAGTAGAAAAATTCGTTGCTTTTACCGTACACACGTCTGATAAACACACATTGAACTAATTAAAATGAAATACTTAATAAAAACTTTCAAACAACGTATTTCTAAAACATACAAACCATATAAATATATTGTGGGCGTTGATTAGAAAGTCATATAAAAATGTATTTGATTATAACGTCAAATTAAAATGTATTTGATTATAACGTCAAATAAAAATGTTGTTGATTATAACGTCAAATTAAAATGTATTTGATTATAACGTCAAATAAAAATGTTGTTGATTACAACGTCAAATTAAGATGGATTTGATTATAACGTCAAATGAAAATGTATTTGATTATAACGTCAAATAAAAATGTTGTTGATTATAACGGATTTGACTTTATAATCAAATACATTTTTATTTGACTATATAATCAAATACATTTTTATTTGACTTTATAATCAAATACATTTTAATTTGAAAAATGTATTTGATTATAAAGTTAAATAAAAATATACCTAAGAATCAAAATGCAAATTCCTTGGTTTTTGCTTTCCTTTGAAATTTTATTTTGTAACTTATATGTAAAGATCACCCGACAGACGTAAGAAACGTTATTGAATTTCTATTATCGTTTTTTTTTTTACAACCAATAATGACAACCGTGTGACAAAATGATTATTGGCTTCGGTTTTAATGACGATAAGATCAAATTTATTAATTTTTGGTATTCAGCAAATTGTTTTATACGAAAAATAAGATGATAGTGAATACATAGAAATATTTAGTTTTAAGAAGAAAAAAAACATGATGTGTTTAAGTTTGTTTTTTTCCTTTTTGTAAAAAGAAAAATGAAATGAAAAAGTATTAAAATCATAGTTAGGAGGGAAGACAAATGCAGTAGGTATCATTAAAATCATAGTTAGGAGGGAAGACAAGTGCAGTAGGTATCATTAAAATCATAGTTAGGAGGGAAGACAAGTGCAATAGGTATCATTAAAATCATAGTTAGGAGGGAAGACAAGTGCAATAGGTATCATTAAAATCATAGTTAGGAGGGAAGACAAGTGCAATAGGTATCATTAAAATCATAGTTAGAAGGGAAGACAAGTGCAATAGGTATCATACATTTTACTCAGTTAAAATCACAATACCTTTAATTTGCACTGAAAAGCAAGAAACAGAATCAAGCTTGTAAAAAAATGAAATGAAAAAAGTATTAAAATCATAGTTAGGAGGGAAGACAAGTGCAATAGGTATCATTAAAATCATAGTTAGGAGGGAAGACAATTGCAGTAGGTATCATTAAAATCATAGTTAGGAGGGAAGACAAGTGCAATAGGTATCATACATTTTACTCAGTTAAAAATCACAATACCTTTAATTTGCATTGAAAAGCAAGAAACAGAATCAAGCTTGTAAAAAAAAGGAAATGAAAAAAGTATTAAAATCATAGTTAGGAGGGAAGACAAGTGCAATAGGTATCATTAAAATCATAGTTAGGAGGGAAGACAAGTGCAATAGGTATCATACATTTTACTCAGTTAAAAATCACAATACCTTTAATTTGCACTGAAAGGCAAGAAACAG